CTCTTGTTACCCAGGCTGGAGTGCAATGGCGCGATCTCGGCTCACCGCAACCTCCACCTCCTGGGTTCTGGCAATTCTCCTGCCTCAGCCTCCTGAGTAGCTGGGATTACAGGCACGCACCACCATGCCCAGCTAATTTTTGTATTTTTAGCAGAGACGGGGTTTCACCATGTTGACCAGGATGGTCTCGATCTCTTGACCTTGTGATCTACCCGCCTCGGCCTCCCAAAGTGCTGGGATTACAGGCTTGAGCCACCGCACCCGGCCTATATCCCCAGTTTTTAACAAGGAAAAACAAAATTCTGGTTGGGGGGCAACCTTCCTGGAAAATATTTTTCTGGAAATCTCTTTCTACTGACTGATAGGCTGAGGCTCAGAATATGCTTCTTCCAAGCTCAGAGGGGGTGAGGGATTGGTCAGCGCGGTGATGGACCAGTTTTGAGAGCCTTCGCTTCCCAACTGACAGCACAGAAGAGCTGGGAGGAGGGGCTAAGAAAATCGGTTTGAAATGGGCCCCGGATTGAGGACTCCAGAGCTGCAGCACGGAGACGGGGCCCCCGAGTCCTCTCCCCTCCCCCTATTTCTTCTCCTCTGGGGCTTTCTCAGTGATTCCGGGGGCAAAGGGCCCCACGAGCCACGTGACAGGTGTATTCTGGGCCACGTATTCCACCATGTGGTCCAGGGCCTCGCGGGCGCTGGCCACGCGCTCACGGCTCTGGGCCAGGATGCTGCTGGACAGGTCCTGGAAGGAGTGGATGCTGGAGAAGGTGGCTTGGAGCTCCTCCATCTGGCGGCGGGCCTGCTGCACCTGGTCCTTCACATTGCTGGGGAGGCCCTGGATGCTGGACCCCAGGGAGGTGCACGTGGCCTGGAGCTGCTGGGCGATGTCCCGGAACATGGTGAGAGCCCGGGACTCCACCTGCTGAGAAGGGAGATGGGAACGCCAATCAGGACCACGTGTTTCAGCAAAGGCGATTGGAGCTGTAGCCAGGGAAAGAGGAGTTCTATCACTAACCTTGGAGAAAACCTTTCCATGGGCGAAACTTTTTCTTTTTTTAATGGAGGCTCACCGCAACCTCCGCCTCCTGGGTTCAGGCAATTCTCCTGCCTCAGCCTCCTTAGTAGCTGGGATTACAGGCACGCACCACCATGCCCAGC